ATTGGTTAATCCTCCAACTTCTTTGTCTAACAACTGGACACACGATGTCTTTCTGAGCTTCCGTGGGGAAGATGTCCGCAGAAACGTTTTCCGTCACATTAAGAAGGAGCTTGAAAGAAAGGGAATCACACCGTTCATCGATAATGAGATCAAGAGAGGAGGATCCATCGGTCCTGAACTCATTCGGGCGATTAGAGGATCTAAGATCGCGATCATCTTGGTCTCCAAGAACTACGCTTCTTCAAAATGGTGTCTTGACGAGTTGGTGGAGATTATGAAGTGTAGGGAAGAGTTGGGTCAAACTGTGATGACCATTTTCTATGAAGTAGATCCATCTCATGTCAAGAAGCTGACCGGAGATTTTGGAAAGGTTTTTAAAAAGACTAGTGCGGGTAAAAGTCAAGAGGATATTGAAAGATGGAGACAAGCTCTTGTGAAAGTGGCCACAATCGCTGGCTACGATTCAAGCAATTGGTTTGTCCTCTGGATTTTTGCTTGCTTTTAATCTCATCAAACACATCAATAAAATATTGATAAATATCTCAAAATCTCACAAGAAACAAAAAAACAAAAAACAACACTTTAAAAAATATTAATTTTGAAAGACAATTAAAAATACGACTAAACTATGAAGCGTTCTTAGACAGTTAAAAGTCTAAAAGCCTAAAACTCCGATACAGATAAGAAAAAAAAAATGGAAATGTTATCTGCTCATTCGAGTAGTGCTCCCTTAACAGAACAAACGTGTATGTAAATTTCTCATGATTATTGAACGGATGTATTCATCTTTCCTCTTGTAATTAAGGGATAATGAAGCGGCCATGATCGAAAAAATCGCCACTGATGTTTCAAGCCAGCTGAATAATTATGTGCCCTCAAGTGATTTCGCCGATTTAGTTGGGATGAGAGCTCATTTGGAGAATATGAGTTTTTTCTTACACTTAGAGTCCAATGAAGTGAAGATGATAGGGATTTGGGGTCCTTCCGGAATCGGTAAGAGCACCATCACTAGAGCTTTGTTTATCAAACACTCTCATCAGTTCCAACTGAGTGTCTTCATGGAGAACATCAAAAGACGCTATCCAAATATTCATGGTTANGATGAGTATAGCGCAAAACTGCAACTACAGAAAGAGTTCTTGTCGCAAATAATCAACCATAAAGATATCGAGATTCATCATCTAGGAGTTGCACAAGACAGGTTAAAAGACAAGAGAGTGCTAGTGGTTCTTGATGATGTGAATCAGTCAGCGCAACTAGATGCAATGGCAAAAGAAACTGGGTGGTTTGGTCCTGGAAGTCGGATTATCATCACAACGCAAGATAAACAGCTTCTGAATGCACATGGGATTAAACATATTTACGAGGTGGATTTTCCAGCTTACGATGAGGCTCTTCAAATCTTCTGCATGCATGCTTTTGGTCAAAAGTCCCCATATGAAGGTTTTGAGGAGCTTGCTAGGGAAGTTACACAACTTGCTGGTAAACTCCCTTTGGGACTTAGGGTTATGGGATCTTATTTGAAAGGAATGCCCAAACAGGAGTGGGAAGAGGAACTACCAAGGTTAAGGAGAAGCCTTGAAGGAGAAATTGAGAGCACTTTAGAGTTCAGTTACAATGCCTTAGGTGCTGAAGACAAAGAATTATTTCTTTATATAGCCTGTTTTTTCAACAATGAACGGATTGAGAAAGTGGAAGAGCATCTGTCAAAGAGTTTCTCTAATGTGAGACAAGGTCTTCACGTCTTAGCTGAGAAATCTCTCATATCTATCAGCTCATATAAAGCCTTAGCTCAGAAATCTCTCATACCTGTCAGCAGCTTGGGATATATAAAGATGCATGATTTGTTAGAACGTTTGGGTAGAGAAATTGTTCGTAAACAATCCATTCATGACCCTGGACAACGTCAGTTTTTGGTT